GGGGCTCCGTTCCATGGCGGACGCGGGCGCGAGGGAGGGGAGGGCGTGGGGGGCGGGGTGGGGCGGGGCTTTAAAGGGGCCGGGTGGGGGCGGGGCCTGGGGGAAAGGGAGGGGGGGAGGGGAGGGGGGGGGCCGAGCGCGACGGCGGCGGCAGCGCGGAGCCATGAAGACTCCGGCGGACGCAGGTGGGGACTGCGCCCCCCCCCTCCCCCCCCTCCCTGCCCCCCCCCTCCCCCCCCCAAATGCGAGCGCCAACGGGGGGGTGGGGGGAGGGGCAAAGTTATTTTGGGGGGGGGAACCCCAATGTTGAGGGGGGAAGAACTTTGCCCCCCCCATCCCCCAACCGCAAACTTTCCTCCCCCCCCCCCCGCCACTCACGTGACCCTCCCCACATTCCCCCGCCCCCCCCCAATTGTATCGGGGGGGGGTCAACCCACGTGACACCCCCACCCCCCCCCCCCCCCCCCCACCCCCCCCATTGAGTCCGGTCCGAGTTTCGCGGGAACCTGTTGCGTCCCACGTGGGGGAGGGGAGGAAGGAGGGGGTGGGGGGAGGGGGGAGGGGGGGGCACCGTGGTCCCCTCCCCCCCCCCGGCCCCCCCCCACCGCGCGCTGTGTTGGGTGGGGGAGGGGCGCTGCCACGTTGTGTGTTTTTAACGGGGGGGGGGAGGGGGCGGCTTGAGGGGGGGGCGCTAATTGGCGTTACCTTATATGGGTATTGCCTGCCCCTCCCCCCCCTCCCGCTCCTCCCCCTCCCCCCCCCCCCTCCATTGGAATCCGGCCGGAGCCCAACCTTGTCCCCTCCCCCACCCCCGCCCTGGCTCCGCCCCCTCCCGCCCACGGCCCCGCCCACGCGGTTGGGGGGGGGAGGGGAGGGCCCTGGTGCTGCCCCATAAGTGTGGGGCGGACCCATAAGTTGGGGGTTGGGGCGGGGGAGTCAAAGTGGGGGAGGGGCTGGGGTACGGGGGCGGAGCGCGGGGGGTGCTGGGATGAGTCATTGGTGGGGTACAGCCCACACTTGGGGGGCTTGGAGGTGTGGGGCAGCTGCTGGGGGGCTTGGACCCACGGGTTCCCTATGGGGCAGCTGTTGGGCTTGGACCCCCAGGTTCCCTGCTATGGGGCAGCTGTGGGGCTTGGGGGTCCGGTGATAGAGCAGCAATGGGGCTGGGACACGCAGTTTCCTTGCTGTGGAGCAGCTATGGGGCTTGGACCCCCAGGTTCCCTGCTATGGGGCAGCTATGGGGCTTGGACCCCCAGGTTCCCTGCTATGGGGCAGCTATGGGGCTTGGACCCCCAGGTTCCCTGCTGCGGGGCAGCTGTGCAGCTTGGACCCCCAGGTTCCTTGCTATGGGGCAGCTGTGGAGCTTGGACCCCCAGGTTCCCTGCTATGGGGCTTGGACCCACAGTTTCCCTGCTATGGGGCAGCTATGGGGCTTGGACCCCCAGGTTCCCTGCTATGGGGCAGCTGTGGAGCTTGGACCCCAGGTTCCCTGCTATGGGGCAGCTGTGCAGCTTGGATCCCCAGGTTCCTTGCTATGGGGCAGCTGTGGAGCTTGGACCCCCAGGTTCCCTGCTATGGGGCTTGGACCCACAGTTTCCCTGCTATGGGGCAGCTATGGGGCTTGGACCCACAGTTTCCCTGCTATGGAGTAGCTGTGGGGCTTGGACCCCCAGGTTCCCTGCTATGGGGCAGCTATGGCGATTGGAACCCCAGCTTCCCTGCTATGGGGCAGCTATGGGGCTTGGACCCCCAGGTTCCCTGCTATGGGGCTGCTATGGGGATTGGAACCCCAGCTTCCCTGCTATGGGGCAGCTATGGGGCTTGGACCCACAGTTTCCCTGCTATGGGGCTGCTATGGCGATTGGAACCCCAGCTTCCCTGCTATGGGGCTGCTATGGGGATTGGACCCACAGTTCCCCTGCTATGGGGCAGCTATGGGTCTTGGACCCAGAGTTTCCCTGCTATGGGGCAGCTATGGGGCTTGGACTGCTAGGCTCCCTGCTATGGGGCAGCAATGGGGGCCTGGACACCAGGGTCCGTTGCTTGTGGGGCAGGATGCTGGGACCCTATGGGGCAGCCACGAAGCAGGACCCCTGTGGCCCCCCCGCTATGGGGCAGGGGGGGTGGCGCTGCCGCCGCACACAGTGGCCCCATTGACGGGGCCGTGGCGCCGCTGACGTCACGTCCCGGCCCCCCCCCCCCCCGGCCCCAATTAGCGAGAACAGGGCCCTGAGTGTTGGGGGGGGGGGGGGGGGGGGGGGGGCGCCCCTCCCCCACCCGGGGCACGAGGCCAGAGTGTTGGGGGGCGGGGGATTATGGGGCACCCGTGCCCATGGGGCGCTGGTTATGGGGCACCTGTGTCCATGGGGTGCTGCTTATGGCGTGCCCCGTGTCCATGGGGTGCTGGTTATGGGGTGCCCTGTGTCCATGGGGAGCTGGTTATGGGGTGCTGTTTATGGGGTGCCCCATGTCCATGGGGAGCTGGTTATGGGGTGCTGTTTATGGGGTTCCCTGTGTCCATGGGGAGCTGGTTATGGGGCACCTGTGTCCATGGGGTGCTGCTTATGGGGTGCTGTTTATGGGGTGCCCTGTGTCCATGGGGTGCTGCTTATGGGGCGCTGGTTATGGGGCACCTGTGTCCATGGGGTGCTGCTTATGGGGTGCCCCGTGTCCATGGGTTGCTGCTTAAGGGTGCTCCATGTCTATGGGCCGCTGGTTATGGGGCACCTGTGTCCGTGGGGTGCTGCTTATGGGGTGCTGTTTATGGGGTGCCCCGTGTCCATGGGGAGCTGGTTATGGGGTGCACCATGGCCATGGGGTGCTGGGGAACTGGTTATGGGGCACCTGTGTCCATGGGGCGCTGGTTATGGGGCACCTGTGTCCATGGGATGCTGGTTATGGGATGCCCTATGGCCATGGGGTGCTTGTTATGGGTCACCTGTGTCCATGGGCGCTGGTTATGGTGTGCCCCATGGCCATGGGGTGCTTGTTATGGGGCACCTGTGTCCATGGGCGCTGGTTATGGTGTGCCCCATGGCCATGGAGCGCTTGTTATGGGGCACCTGTGTCCATGGGCGCTGGTTATGGTGTGCCCCATGGCCATGGGGCGCTTGTTATGGGGCACCTGTGTCCATGGGCGCTAGTTATGGTGTGCCCCATGGCCATGGGGTGCTTGTTATGGGGCACCTGTGTCCATGGGGTGCTGGTTATGGGCACTGGTTAAGGCGTGCACCATGTCTATGGGGCGCTGGCTATGGGGCACCTGTGTCCATGGGGTGCTGGTTATGGGGTTCCCCGTGTCCATGGGGGCTCTGGTTATGGGGTGCGCCATGGCCATGGAGTGCTGGGGCTCTGGTTATGGGGCACCTGTGTCCATGGCATGCTGGTTATGGTGTGCCCCATGGCCATGGGGTGCTGGCTCCGGGGCACCTGTGTCTATGGGGTGCTGGTTATGGGGCACTGTGTCTTTGGGGCACTGGTTATGGGGATGCTGGTTATGGGGTGCCCCGTGTCCATGGGGTGGTGCTTATGGGGTGCAGGTTATGGGGGTGCTGCTGGCTATGGGACACTGGTTATGGGGTGCCCATGTCCATGGGTGCAGGTTATGGGTCCCGCTATGGGGCAGAGGCCGTTGTGCGGCTCCATCCCTGTTCCGGGGGGGGTTGGGGGCTCTGCACGCGCCTCCCCCGGGGGGTTATTTTTAGCGTCGCCGGTTGCCTGGCAACGGGGGGGGGGGGAGGGGCTGGGACTGGGGGGGAGGGCCGCCCCCCCCCTCCAATCCCTTTGGGGGGGTGAGATCATCGCAGCTGATGCATTATTGATGTGCGAGGCCCATAGCGGGTGTGGGGCACGGCCCCATAGAGACACCCCATAGGTGGGAGTGTGGGGCACGGCCCCATAGAGACACACCATAGATGGGAGTGTGGGGCACGGCCCCATAGAGACACCTCATAGATGGGAGTGTGGGGCACGGCCCCATAGAGACACCCTATAGATGGGAGTGTGGGCACGGCCCCATAGAGACACCCTATAGATGGGAGTGTGGGATGTGGCTCCATAGAGAAACCCCATAGATGGGAGTGTGGGGCACTCCCCCATAGAGACACTTCATAGATGGGAGTGTGGGCACGGCCCCATAGAGACACTTCATAGATGGGAGTGTGGGGCACGGCCCCATAGAGACACTTCATAGATGGGAGTGTGGGGCACTGTCCCATAGAGACACCCCATAGATGGGAGTGTGGGGCACGGTCCCATAGAGACACCCATAGATGGGAGTGTGGGGCACGGCCCCATAGAGACACCCCATAGATAGGAGTGTGGGGCACGGCCCCATAGAGACACCCCATAGATGTGAGTGTGGGGCACGGCCCATAGAGACACACCATAGATGGGAGTGTGGGGCACGGCCCCATAGAGACACCTCATAGCTGGGAGTGTGGGGCACGGCCCCATAGAGACACACCATAGATGGGAGTGTGGGATGCAGCTCCATAGAGAAACCCCATAGATGGGAGTGTGGGGCACTGCCCCATAGAGACACACCATAGATGGGAGTGTGGGGCACGGCCCCATAGAGACACACCATAGATGGGAGTGTGGGATGCAGCTCCATAGAGAAACCCCATAGATAGGAGTGTGGGGCACGGCCCCATAGAGACACCCCATAGATGGGAGTGTGGGGGCGCTGCCCCATAGAGACACCCTATAGATGGGAGTGTGGGGCACGGCCCCATAGAGACACCCCATAGATGTGAGTGTGGGGCACGGCCCCATAGAGACACCCCATAGATGTGAGTGTGGGGCACGGCCCCATAGAGACACACCATAGATGGGAGTGTGGGGCACGGCCCCATAGAGACACACCATAGATGGGAGTGTGGGGCACGGCCCCATAGAGACACCTCATAGATGGGAGTGTGGGGCACGGCCCCATAGAGACACCCTATAGATGGGAGTGTGGGATGTGGCTCCATAGAGAAACCCCATAGATGGGAGTGTGGGGCACTCCCCCATAGAGACACTTCATAGATGGGAGTGTGGGGCACGGCCCCATAGAGACACTTCATAGATGGGAGTGTGGGGCACTGTCCCATAGAGACACCCCATAGATGGGAGTGTGGGGCACGGCCCCATAGAGACACCCCATAGGTGGGAGTGTGGGACACGGCCCCATAGAGACACT